ATTTTAAAGGAGTGTATTGAGTTGGAAGATACAATATATCAAAAAGATCCGCAATTGTTAAAAGAAATCAATGATAAGGTAGTAAGACTAACGGACAGGGTAACAAATACCCTTGAAAAGAAATATTTCAAAAAAATAAGGTGGATTTTAAAGCAACAAACTCCCATGGAGCGAAAAAGCAATGTACCACACGTGTAAATCAATAAATTAAACGTAAAAATAAATTGATTTACAGAAATTCAATAGATATTTTGGGGTGAGATATACGACATTATCTAAGTTAGAAGTATGTAAAATTCATATCTTGCAAATTAATTAAAACAAAATAAAAATACATTGTAAAAGTACTTGAAAGACAAGGAGCTATAAAAAACAGTGACGAATGCTCTCGACGTAATTTGAGAGATTTTCGAATGGCGGAGAGGCAGAGCGACCGCTATTAAATTAACGCACCAAACGTAATATTGTCAAAAGGGTAGCCATTGCTTTAGCACAGTAACATCGCGGGTAATTATTTTCAGGAGAAGTATCTCAAATATAACTCCTATTTATATTATTCATATTATGTATATGTTAAAATCGGCGATTTATTTTTACGTAAAATTTTCATTAAAATATAGAAATAGCGAAATTTGTATTGCTCAGAGAACAGTAGCCTAATTGTGCTAGGTGATTGTGACTCGCTGAAGAAGAGAGTCATTATTGAAAAGCCTCTCCTAAGAACTCTCGAAAACGCCCCGAAAAACATTTTAAAAAAATTACTTAGGCTAAATTTTATTATTGTGTTTTTATTAATAATTTAATCAAAAAATTACATTTAAACTCCGTTGTTATATAACTATTTTTATGTAATTTCATGAAAATACTGGTCGGACAGGTGTTGGAATGAAAAAACTCATCCATGAACAGTTTGAGGAGTATTACTCTAGGGAGATTTCCAGTGTGTTAATCCGAAAACAACACTCACTCATCAAAAATTTATCATCAGAATATTTTATTACATCTTTGTTATGGTACATATCTTTAATATTTTATTAACAAGCAACTACTGTAATTGGAAGCGCCTTTTGACGATAGACTTCGATCTTCCGATGATAAAATTCTTATGCTTCTATATTAATTTTAAGTAATAATGTAAACTTATTTATTGTGTAAGAATGATATTCTATTACATGGTACTAGACCTAATATCTGGCAAGATTGTGACGGAAGTGGCCCGGATTTCTGAATTTTCCAGTTTTCCGGGCACAGGCAAATATATACACGAGAAAGATAAACACTGGAAAGTAACGAACGAAACTGTGTTTATAACACCGTATGCTAACAGTCACGCTGGAATTGGTGTCTTGCGACATTTATGGGGCAGAAACCAAAACAATGACCACTTGGAAACCACAGTACGCCAAATTAAAGCTAGCCGGTTTTCTGGAATTCCGAATACATTTGGTCTGGTATTGTTTCTACTCTACAAAAAATACTTTTTTTCAAACTCAGTTCATGTTCTTTAAGAAAGTTTTAACTTATAAGTTTATCATTCAATATTTCTGAAATCACGATATTATTATATTAAAAATANTTTTTTTACATTTATTACCTTTAAAATACAATTCTAATAATAATAAAAATAACATAAGGTTATTTAATTTTAATGTGACAAATGTGCACGATTTTCTTTGCACAACTTTGTAAAATCTGGTTGCTTTTTGGTCAGCTTCAGTCTCAAGTCATCTTCAAGTTGAAGTCAGTGATGCTGTTTAGTTTTCATGTTTGTCATGGCTGAAAATCCGCTCTCACAGAGGTATGTTGTGCAAAATGGTAGTAAATATTTTATTGCTGCTTCACTGACATGATAATAATGTTAATTGTACAATTTTTGTTTCTTGCATAAGAATTTAGGTATTGTCACAAATGCATTTTTTTTTAAATGAAATTTTGAGAATATTTTTAATTATAAAGAAACAAATTTATGCATTCCAATCATGTTGTAAATTGCCGAATTTTTGATGGTCTACCCATTATTTTTTTGATTGTTTCATCTCATGCATTTAAATTTTAAATCGACCGATTTTAGTTTGCCGTGCGTACCCCTTCATGCAATTTCGCGTACCCCTGGGCGTACATGTACCACTAATTGGGAACCATTGGTCTAGACTGTTAACGAGTAATATTATACACTTTATATCCAATTTCGAGTAATTTTTCAAGGCAAACAAACCAGAAAACAACATGTAGTATGTTTTCTGGTTTGTTTGCCTTGAAAAAATTATTCGAAATCAGATATAAAGTGTATAATATTACTCGTTAACAGTCTAGACAAATGGTTCCCAATTAGTGGTACATGTATGCCCAAGGGTACGCGTAATTGCATGAAGGGGTACGCACGGCAAACTAAAATCGGTCGATTTAAAATTTAAATGCATGAGATGAAACAATCAAAAAAATAATGGGTGGACATCAAAATGGATCAGTATATATAC